TGAAGATAAGTTATCTCCGATACAAATTCCGCAGATTCTTTTAAAGTAGATATTTTCGAAGAGAAAATTCCCCTGCATAATTTAGTTCATGTGCTCGTTGTTGAGTGGAATTTTTTTGAAATGCAATAACCTGATATCACTGTGAATTTAAATGGCTTATGATTTTTTTAAATATTTATAGGCAGATGTTTGTTGAAAAATAAATGAATTGCTTAAACTCGTAAATATGGTTAGTTGAAAATGACAACCGTAGCCAAAGCGACTGTATAAACGATCGTCGTCGTCGATGGAGTGAATATGATGACTATATGATCATACAGAGTAATAGCTATCACAGACTATGATGAGCAATACTAGCATCCAATTTCTATAATTACAATTTGATTTTTACCATGTTTTTACTGACTTGAAATTTTTTACATAGCTCAGAATGGATGACAATATGTGTAAGTGCATAACGTGTTATACAACTTTTTTCCGCAATTAATATTTGTTTTATTATACTTAATTGTTTGTCAAAAAACTACAAATTTCAACAACTGTACTCGTACACACAAGACATGTAGGCCAGAATTATTTATTTTACTTTAATAGCGACTCTGATAATATTTATTTAGAGGAGCGCTACTATAACGAAAAAGCAGATGTATAACTTCATCTTTTTTCTTTGTTGTAAAAAATTAAATACCTAATTATAGGACACAATAAACTTTTTTTATGGAAAGGAAACTGTATGTGCGTTTAAATAATCTGCAACAACAAACGCAAGTTAATCTACAAAGTTAATTTACTTACCCGGTAACATTCAAAAAGCACTCTATATTAATCACAGTTAAGTTACCTAGTCTGTGGACACTAAAATATTGAAACCACCGGAGGTCATTGCTTTCAGTTAAATCTAAATACTGGAATATAAACATCGTTGAAACTGAAGCCCGGATTAATATAAATTACACCACCAGTGTACTGAATTTGTGTTATTTTTTTTTTTTTTGATAATGACGGAAAGTCAATATTACAATTTACAGTGGAATGAATCGGCGCAATCGGGGAAAAAGATCACGCTCGCTTAGAATTTAGTAAGTTACTGCTGTATACGTATAGTGAGTGCAGAGAGCTGAATACTCTTTTAATTGCCAAATATAAATTATATTATAGTCGTATAATAGATTTAGGTATCTTTTGGCCACAGCATCCTCTTTACTGTTTGTAACGCCCCCCCCCCCTCTAAATATAAAAATAATATTATATTAAATATAATTAATATAATTAATTTACCCCTTTTCGATAAAAATTATATATATGTTATATTTTGACCAGGATAAATAAGATATGTTTTGATCTTTCTAAATGATTTTTCAAAGGGTTTATTAATAGGCCGTTTGTAATATTTTGGCGTGATCGTCTTAGTTAGTACCCTTATTTACGTTGTGTTTGTTTAGTAACTTAGTTCTTTTAGGTGTCTTTTGGAGGAATGGATATTCACTAGAGTAATTGAAAGCTGTTGGTAGTGCCTTATAAGCTAAGTGAACCCCGTTCACGAAGACGGGGCTCGAGAAAGGTTAAGAACATAAAACGTCCCTATTCCACTTATATCAGGTTGACATTATTAATTTATTATTATTTATCCCTTCCCGCTCGGAAAAGTCTCAAAATATATTTATACAAAATACCAGATACAAGGGCTTCGCTCTCCTACATTTATTTAAAAAAATGTAGGGGAGGCACACGGCCTCACACACGCCGTGCACGGTGAGCGTCAACCATTTTGATGCACTCCCCCCGATGGGAACGTTAATTCGGGAACTAGACCGTAGTCCACAGCAAAATAACTGGCGAACCAGTAAAAGAGGCTTGGCCCCCTGTTACTGCGTAAGCACAAACATCGACCGAAGTCGCGCATGCCAATGCGTGTAAACGCCATACAGAATACGAACGAATCCAGCCATGTGTACGTCACACGTTTTAGGCAAATAGGCACACTGGCCGTAAACCCTCCGTGAGCGCCACCACCTGCCAGACCGCCGCTCCTGCAGACGTGATGTAAGTGTATGGCATCACCACCAATTGCATGATCAGCACGGCTACCAGCCGCAGAGCGTGTCATGAGTCTACCGCTCACCTCACGGGAATGGGGTCCCACGTTGTGCGGCTTTTGGCCGCAGCCTTGAGAGTCTCCTCAGATCCTCCCGCCAGCTACCACCCGCATGAGGTCGACACATATGCTCCACCAACCAATACAACGGCAGATATAGCCAAAAGGCAGTTATAAGTTGTTAGTAATACATATTTGCCATCGGAAAGGGTTTGTGTCACTGACGTTGAGTAAATGTATTTTCGATCACTTTTGTCTCACCACCAACAATAAGTTGCCTTCAATCATTCAAAGGTGGGAAAGTTACAGAGATATATTATTATGTTGTTATATAAAACATCGTGGAGGGCAGACAGTCTGCAGCTCCGTAATGAAGGGACCCGACTTGGGCAAAGCTACTTAGGTATGAGTCAACCAAGACGCAAAGAGCGCCATTGAGAATAGCGTCCCACCAAACGACCATCGCAAAGACGCAATGCTGCAAAACGCAACAAGCATCAATACGACTATCGTCGGGCTTACACCATCCCAAGCTCCCCCATACACCCTAGCACACATCACCACCCGCATACCTCCATCAACCAGAACCACGAATGCATCGAATCAGGCGCAGCACACCCGCAGATCCATCACAAGACGCAATACCGCAAGAAGCAGTAAGCATCAATGCAACTATCATACGGATGGCGCCCCCTCACAACACACCTACATGATCCCTATCAACGTTGTTAACAAAGTTTGTATTGTTTTTAACTAAAAATATCACCAACGTATCATAGTAGCACGCTACTAAGACGCCAGTGAATAAAACTCCACGTATCACAGCGCTAATGCACTAAGACGTGAAGTTGAGTATGCCTATTACACTTAAAAGTGCTACCAAACACACTTATCCCAATCCGAAAGATAGACGACGCATCGCTATGCGCTACGACATCGCCCACAAACGGTATGGGTGTGCGATGTCCACGGGAAAGCCGTATTGCACAATCAAACCCGCTTACCACCGGCACTAAGATGATATGTCTAGGACACATCGGTTAGCGAGCCCAAGTTTACCACGGACCAATTGTGTGAAGCAGCATACACGCCACCATAATAATCCTTTTTCAAGTCCCTAATACGGACTAGTCATTTTGCTACAGTACTAAGAGCAGTCGGTCACCCGACCACCCCATAAAATGCTTATGCATAAAGGAGACCTTCTATAATAATGCTTTTGTATCATAGACCTTACTTTCATAATTCATTAATATATAGGACTTCAACCCACCACCCCACTATTGTAATGCAAATACATTATAGAGACCTTCTATAGTATTGCTTTTGTATCATTGAGTTTATTATCATAAGTCCCTAATATAGGACTAGTCATTGTGCTTCAGTACTTCAAGCAGTCGGGCTCCCGACCACCCCATATATATGTACAACTGCAGGTATGTATCTCCAGCAGCTCCTACATACAAGACCAGAAGAAGAATACATGAACACCTTCCATAACTTAGGAAAATTTTCTTTTACACGTGAACTCAAAAAAATTGTCTGTTGGAAACTTAGACAATTTTTAACAAATTTTCTAATTATCTTATAAACGCTATTTATCTCTATTTTTATAATATTTTCGTCTTGTATTTCTATTGTTAATCATGTTTTAAATATTTTTACAAGTTTTTATAATAAATTTATTTATTATGAAAGCCAATATTTTGCCTTTAATTTACTATGTTATTGGTCTAATATCTGAAATGTATTTATATTAACTTTATGCTTATTAGTGTAATTTTATTGCTTAATATATATCTTTTAAGACTATTTTTGACGCCCCTTTATAATGAATTTAATTATTAATAATAATATTGGGCCGTCACACATTCAACCATGCTCTTTACCATATAGACCAGGGTCGATAATTTTAGAAACGAAAAAAAAATTAAATTAGGATGAAACCTATTGGAAAAGGAGGGGAATACCACCAAAATGATAGGAAAAATAAATTACGGGCGATCTGAGGTTGGAAAGGGGGTAGGGGGGAGTTTTTAAGGGTAAAAATCGGTAAATCTCGATTTTCGGCAAAACTACAAGTCCTATCGAAAAAATTTCAATAGCATAGTTGTAGATAATAAAAAAATGTACAACTTTTATATCTATAGTTTTTCTCCATAACCTCAAAATTCATGTGAAAAATCCAAAAAAACCACATTTATTATTTTTTATTTTTATCTTTTGCAAAAAAATTGTTTTTTATCATGATATTTGGTGAAAACTTACCTCTTTATGTCCCAAATACACTGAAATTTTGAAGATTTAAAATATTAATTTTTTCACCCTATTTTGACTCGATATCGAAAAAGCAACGCAGCAAATTCTCACGTCAAAATATCTAATTTTTCAAAAAAGTCGGTGGGCTTTTTGTTCGTTGATATCTCTATTTTCTGATGTTTTAAAAATATACATTACTATTGAAAAAAAATTCAGAAAATGCAAAAAACGAAAAATACTAAAATTCGATTTTTTTTTTAATCTTTATGTACAATTTTGAGGTATTCATTAAAATTTTTACTTTAATTACTCGAAAAACGTTAGGTTCCATGTTAGATTAATAAACAAAAAAATTACAAACCAATTAAACATAGATATAGCAAAAAAACATAGTTGTTGTAAATATTAAATATACGATTTAAAGGGGATTTTATTAAAAAATGTGACTACTGCTATTTTTTTCAGTAATAAAAGTTTATTTATTAAATTTTCATTACATTTATATATTAGAAAATCTCATTAGATAGAAATATACACGTAAATCGTACTATTGAGTAGAGATATTTTTTAATGATTACATTACACATTATATTATTTTTAAAATCATTAATCTTTGTATTTATCAAAACATAGTATTCAATTCGAATCACTTATTCATCAGTTTCTGTCTTTTTGATGGTATTTCTTGATCGTTAAATTCGACAGGCCTTTCGGATTCTAGATCTTGGACATCTTCAAGACCATCATTGTCTTCGTCTCCCACATTATTTTCGGTCTGCATTGGTTCTTCATCCGCAATTTCATCTGAATCATTAACTTCCTCGTAGATTTTTTTCTGCACATTGATGCATTGTTCAGAACTATGACAATTTGAGCATAAATTTGTGCATTTTAAACCATGTTTTCGGCAGCCACATTTTAAACATAACATCCAGTTTCACAGCTGCAGCAAATAGTTTTCAGCAATTTTTCCGGAATTAATTCCATTTCTGTAAATTTGGGCATAATTCCATGTTGATGTTGCTTCCAGCCCCAATCTGTTGCCGTCAATTCATTACCCAACCACGTTTGAAGCTGCCCTGTAACAATGTTGTTCTGCTGCACCTTCTGTGGGTGGGAGATTTGCCAATATAGTAAATTAAATTTTTCGAACCCTCATTACATCGGCCCCTTTTAATAATTTATTGATTACAGTGCACCAATTAAAAATGCAGAGTTTAATAGATATTTTCAAAAACTTTTCAAGAACTATATCTTTGTGTTACTGGCAATCGAAAAACGAAAATTAATATTTGGAACTTATTTCCTTTTTTTATTCTTTCACTAATTTATTTATTTATTTTTATTTATTTAATCTTCATTATACACCTTATATACTAAGGAATTTAAAGGGCGGACTTAATGCCTTATGGCTTTCTCTGTTATTTTGATATCCATGTTGTTCCAAATATTCATTTGTTGTTTTTATTACATTTCAAAAACTTCTAATATTTTCGGATGTATATATTAATTTTCACTAGTTTTGCCAACGAGGTTACTATAACCTATGCACGGTAACCACCTGTTTCTAATGTCTTAATTGCCGGTAACTGATGCAATCTACCGTCCTGTCGTAAACTATTGCACTCTGAAACACAACACTTTCGAAACATTTTCCGAAATATCACCCTGATATCGATTTATTTGTGGATTTAAAGATGATCGAAGCAAGCACTTTTATCAACACGAAATAAGCAATGACGGGTGAATGACATTGACATCACAAAATGGCGCGCTTGGAGTTTGCGGGGGTGAAGAAGGCTAAAGAGAGGCGCGGAACATCAGATTCAATTCTTGCAATGTCATTCTATACGAACCATTTTTTTTTTGGCTAGGACATTACCTGGCGTGATCTCGAATACTGGCTAACGGTTTTTACAGCTGCTACGAAATAACAGGTAGTAAGGCCCAGACACTCCAAGCCCCTTCCCCACTTCTCTATGAAATACCTTTTGATGGCCTACAATTTTCCGAAAGTCTCTCAGGTATATAGGTATAATTTTAAAATAGCAATAAATAGGCATCTACGCATATAATTTAAAGAAAATTTGACAAATTTCTCAAAATTTTGTAGATGTCATATTAAATATTAACTTTATTAACTTATTTAGTTGTTAATTATAAGTAGTACATTTCGACTTGCAATTTATTGTTTATTAATCTAACATGGAACCTAAGGTTTTTCGAGTAATTAAAGTAAAAATTTTAATGAATACCTCAAAATTGTACATAAAGATTTAAAAAAAATCGAATTTTAGTATTTTTCGTTTTTTTTTTTGCATTTTCTAAATAAGTTTTCAATAGTAATGTATATTTTTTACAGCATCAGAAAATAGAGATATCAACGAACAAAAAAGCCCACCGGCTTTTTTGAAAATCAGATATTTTGACGTGAGAATTTTCGATTGAAAATTAGGGTGCTTTTTCGATATCGAGTCAAAATAGGGTGAAAAAAATTAATATTTTAAATTTTCAAAATTCCAGTGTGTTTGGGAGATAAAGAGGTAAGTTTTCACCAAATATCATGGAAAAAAAAACAATTTTTTTGTAAAAGATAAAAAAAAAATCAAAAATGTCGTTTTTTAGATTTTTCACATGAATTTTGAGGTTATGGAGAAAAACTAAACATACAAAAGTTGTAGATCTTTTTATTATCTACAACTTTGCTATTGGACTTTTTTCGATAGGACTTGTAGTTTTGCCGGAAATCGAGATTTACCGATTATTACCCTTAAACCCCCCCCCTACCCCTTCCCAACCTCAGATCACCCGTAATTTATTTTTCCTATCATTTTGGTGGTATTTCCTTCCTTTGCCAATAGGTTTCGTCCTACTTTAATTTTTTTTCGTTTTTAATTATTTTTGACGGCTTTGACCCTGGTCTAATACAACTGTGTGCTCGTTTGTCGCCCTTGTTTTTTAAGAAACACTTCAAATTATAACATGAATAAATATAACTTTTGATCCTCATGACGATAAATTTTTACTATGCGTTAAACAATCGTCTAAATATGATTAGTTCTATAATTTTTAGCCACGCTGCAGCTATAGTATCGCTACAGGACGAATGGGTCGGCTCTACTGGGACACGACCACGCTCTGGTATTCTTATACCAGCGTGAAACAGCAGATTAAACGTCATAGCACACTTAAACGACTCTGCTCCAACACCGCTCCCACCCAACACCGCCCTAAACTAAGACGACTGCTCACAGTCCACGCGGTGACAGCTAGCAGGCACCCAGCAGTCCACGCGGCGACAGCTAGCAGACGGCCAGCTATCCACCCGCTGACCGCTCTCGCTTTTCGCGATAGCCACAGTTCGCGATCGGTTTCCATTAAAGCAACTCGTATTTTTTACTATGTCCCGATTCACAACGCACGAACTAGCAATTATTGCTATTGCACTTGAGGATGAAGAGAGAAGCGCAAAAACTAACAGGCGAAGATTTTGGGTGCATAAAATGCTGAAAGCAAGACATGCAGAAGGAGAATTTTGGCAGATCCAGAGACACCTATTAGATGACGAAGAAAAATTCTACATTTACTTTCATATGGATCGGTACTTATTTGACTACATATTATCATTTATTGAAAAAGATATAACAAAGAAGAATACGAAATTCAGACAAGCAATAACACCAATAGAAAAAATTGCCGTCACGTTAAGGTAAGTGAAAGAGAAACTTTTCTTGTAAATTTGTACACATTTATTTGAAAAAAAAAATATAGTACCAATCAGTCTCTAATTTCCATTATTTATCTTCAATGATCGGATACGGTGAGTATATTTACCTACAGTTTATGGAACAGAGACAAAAATCGGAGACTTCCTTATAACAAATTTTTTTTTACTATTAAATTTACCAGAACTTTAATTACTTGAATTTAAACGTCTTATTTATTCAATAAACACATTTATTGCGTTAATATTCTTCTTACGAGTTTTTTTCACATGGTGCAACATTTTTCATTTTAATGACTTAAAAAAAGTTTTCAATTCTACTGTTTTTATTGAATTAATAAGACGTTTAAATTGACGTAATTAAAGTTCTGTTAAATTTAATAGTAAAAATTGTTTAATTATAAGGAAGTCTCCGATTTTTGTCTCTGTTCTACAAACTGTAGGTAAATATATTCACCCTATTCCGAACACTGCTTATCACTTACAATGTTAACTCAAAATTAATAAGGAAACAGTTTTCTAGCACATTTTAATCTTAGGAATCATTTTTCTGTGTAGCATTAGCCAATTCCCTGTTCAATATCGGTTCTTCTAAGACTGGAGGATTATTGCCTGAAAGCTGTTCATTGCGGGTGTTAAAGTCGGAAGGGCCTGCATTATGGATGTTATAATCCGAAGATCCTGCGTTGCGGGTATTATAGCCGGAAGGGCCTGCGTTATGGAGGTTATAATACGAAGACCCTATATTGTGGGTGTTTCAACCCGAAGGTCCTGTATTGTAGGTGTTATAACCCGAAGGACTTTCGATATCAGTATTGTGTCGTGAAGAACCAGCATAGAAATTAGTTTGTTCCTGGATTTCTTGTAATTCAAATTCAGACACCATGTTGAATATTCTAGATTTAAGAACAGATTGGCTGTAACGATTTAATTTTTTTACTGTTGTTGCAATGCTCGAAAAAAACTTTTCAATCTCGTCATCCTTATTTGTCTCTTTTTCTTTAAGTAAATACTGTAAAAGTTGAGCTGATACTGAGGTACATTCTTCGGTCCCTTTAAATCGCTTTCTTTTAGGTATGTTCGGAAACAAAGGAGAGTTTGCTGACATATTTGTTGAAGAAGATTCTGGTCGGTTGGTGATATTAAATTCTGGGTCATCGATGACATGGGAGAATCATCGTGATTTGACAACAATTCGTTAACATAAAAATTATCGTCAACCTCACTATCATCTTCCGTTAATGATGAAATTGTTTTTCTTTGTTTCATATGCGGCAACAAAAAAAGACATCTCTTCTTCAAATTGCCATTTTTTTTTGATGAAGTAGCAGCCTGACCACTTTTTGTGCGTTTCTTAACAACTGCCCTTCTATAGCTTTCTCTTAAGTTTGCCCATGTTTTCTTGCACTCTGATTCTGAAAAAGAAAAAAATCTAAGTGAAGAGATGTCTGTGTGCTAAAGTGTGTTTATTTTTGTTTAGAAACATTAATAGAGAAAGTTTTCATAATGATTTCTTATATTTACGCAATCACTACACATTGATTAAAACTACTTTTACGGATTTTTTCGCGTTTATTTTAGTTTTATTTACTTTTATTTTTAATTCCCGAAGTTTCGGGTGCTTTACAGCACCCATGGTCTACGGGGACTGAGATGACTAACGTCCCGATGTCATTGTTAAACCCGGAGTACCTTCAGCTTTTTTAATTATTGTTTATGGTCCGATCTATGCAAAATGAACTGACTCTGTCCTGAGATCTTGCAGTGGTATGCTTGGGTTTAGTTTTAATTTTATTGATAATAGGATCCCAAGCAGGTGGTAGTACGCAGCCTCCTTCTCTATTGAAATTAGGATGTTTTTTAATTTCAATGGTGGTCTATCAAAAAGAAAGTTTTATTTCAGATACATGATCACGGGAAGTTCAGCAAGGACGTTGAGTTCAAGCTTTAGATTAGGCGAATCAACAATCCGATCAATTATACAAGAAGTATGTAACGCAATCATAAACAAATTAATGGGAATTTTCATTCCAACGCCAATTGAAGAGCGGTGGAAAAGTATAGCTCAAGGATTTCAAGACAGATGGAATTTTCCAAATTGCATCGGCGCTATAGATGGGAAGCATGTCAACATCATAGCACCTGCTAATAGTGGTTCGCTGTATTTTATATTATAAAAAGCACTTTTCTGTTGTCCTATTGGCTGTAGTTGATGATAAATATAGATTTATAATAGTTGATATAGGTGCTTTTGGTAGAAATAGTGACGGTGGAATATTTGCATCTTTGAAATTAGCGAGACGTCTTGAAAATAATTCATTACATATTCCAAACGATAAACCACTACCTGGAAGTAACAGAGATATACCACATGTTTTCATAGGAGATGAGGCGTTTCCTCTAATGAAAAATTTAATGAGGCCATACCCTCGTTGTCGTGGCTTATCTGAGGCACAAACTATATTCAATGAACGTTTATCACGAGCACGCAAAGTTGTGGAAGATGCATTTGGAATATTGTACCAGAAATTTGGCATTTATAATAAAAGTATTAATGTGAACCCGATTCACGTTGACACATTGATACTAGCGACATGTATTTTACATAATATTACGCGAAGTTATGCAATAGAGTATCTAAATCAACACGAGAACAGCAACCAATACATCACAACGAGAATGGTTTCCTGCAACCAATACTAGAAAACGGAATGAACAGTGGCGAAAATGCTTTTAATATTCGAGACTTGTTTTCATTTTACTTTCCTGAAGGTCAAGTTTCATGGCTGCATCAAAATATTTAATAACGAGGAAAAAAGTAAAAGCAACTTTCATCCTTCATTTAAAAAATACATTTTGTTTTATAAAAAATAAATATCTTATAGACTACAACAAAAGTTACTATTTCAACATGTACTTTAGTTTTATCAATTCTTCTCGAGTTATAAGCGGACAGACGGACAGAAAGAGACAGACAGATAAGTATATTAATTTTAAGGTTATGGAACAAAAAAGGTAAAAAAATCAACCATAAAAAATACAATTTTACCTCCACCACGTTATAAATATAGTATGGATTGTACGTAGATAGGTGCATACCTGTTGCAGACAACGTTGTAGCATTAGATTTCCATGTGTGATCCCTTTCGACAGAATCTGCGTATTTTGCGTCACTGGCATCATACAGATAGTGATATCTTCGCACTTCTTCAATAAGTTTTTCTTTATTCATAATGGATACGTTCAATACCTGCGAAAACACTCGGAAAGAGATCGAGCGTGCGGATTGCTTGGTAGATACTGACCGACTGAGTGGGAGCGGCGACGGCGCCGACGGCGCGGCGACTGCTTGCAGTGAGCTCGCGGACACCGCACCGGCCGCTCGTCTACGACGGTCGGTCAGCGAGGCGTCAACTACCGAGCAGTCTGACGGTGGTAAGCTCGCTGACAGCGAGCTGTCTGCTGATTTATGATGCTAATGTAAAATATATCTAAAGAGCAATATTTAAAGCCCATATTTAAATTATACTCTTTTTGTCGGGTGGGAGCAGAGTCGTGTAAGTGGGCTATGACCTTAATGCTGTAGTGCGTAAGGTGAATGTAGATAATTTATGACTCTTGTTATTGCTAATGCGTCATTCCGTCTTGGTGCTCAGGGTTGACAATTTTTTTAATTCTTAATTGAGTATAGTAGCATCTACTTACTATCCGGCGGACTGTGTGCTCGTATGTCACCCCTGGACAGTCCTACCGTAAAACTAATGTAAGTGTAATTCAATGTGTAGTGTCATCATAAATATTAGAAACCATTATTTATACTTCATTGTAAAAAACTCCATATAAATAGGATTATAACATCATAGGAAGGTAAGGGAAGGAAGGGCGGACATAACGTCTTTTAGTGTTCTCTTCTAGTCAAGTCTGGACGTGTAGAAATAATATAGCAGATGCAAAAAATTTAAATTAACATCTGTTCTTCACTGTTACTACTACAAATGGTGGAACTCATTTTGTGACTGGAGTCCGACTGCCTAGTTGCCCTCTCGCTTATGTCTGCTGCCAAATAATAGTACCTGCACTGCAGCTCTTATCCGGCTTTAAGGACGCGTTTACAAAATTGATAGGTATAGAATCGCACTACTACATTGACAAAAGTCACACACACACACTAGTGTACGCACGGTTGGCTGTGGGAATCGTAGTCAAATGAAATTATTTTGATAATTTGAAAGATTGAATTTGTTTTTCATTTCTTATACCTACCTCAGAAATATACTTCGATACGAAATACGAATACCTCCAGAGACTGCTTGGCACTGGAAGCCCTCTACTGGTAGTGAGATGTTAGCTCTGGACTTTGAACTGGTTTTGTCAGTTATAATAAGACCTTACCTACCTGCGGACTTGATGGAGTGACCTGAAGGTGTAATTTGGTGATTACAACAGGAACTCCTAGACTAGTGGAACTAGGTGTGCCGAGTTTGGGTTCGTTTTGTTGGTTATGATGAGACCTTACCACCGAACTTGATGGAGTGACCTGAAGGTGTAATTCGGTGATTACAAGTGGAACTGCTAGACTTGTAGGACTAGGTGTGCCGAGTTTGGGTTCAATTTGTTAGTTATGATGAGACCTTACCAACAGACTTGATGGAGTGACCTGAAGGGGTAATTCAGTAACTACTGCTGGTATTTCTGAACCAGTAGAACTAGGTGTGCCGAATTTCACTCCATCAAGTCCGGTGGTAAGGTCTTATCGTAACTAACAAAACGAAACCAAACTCGTCACACCTAGTTCTACTAGTCTAGGAGTTCCATTTGTAACCACCTGATTACACCTTCAGGTCACTCAATCAAGTCCGGTGGTAAGGTCTCATCGTAACTAACAAAACAAACCCAAACTCGGCACACCTAGTTCTACAAGTCTAGGAGTTCCACTTGTAATCACTGAACTACACCTTCAAGTCACTCCATCAAGTCCGGTGGTAAGGTCTCATCATAACCTACAAGACGAACCCAAACTCGGCACACCTAATTCTACCAGTCTAGGAGTTCCAGTTGCAATCACCGATTTACACCTTCAGGTCACTCCATCAAGTCCGGAGGTATGGACTCGTCATAACAAACAAAACGGAACCCAAATTCGGCACACCTAGTTCTACTCGTTCAGAAATTCCAGCAGTAGTTACTGAATTACCCCTTCAGGTCACTCCATCAAGTCTGGTGGTAAGGTCTCATCATAACAAACAAAACGAACCCAAACTTGGCACACCTAGTCCTACAAGTCTAGGAGTTCCACTTGTAATCACCGAACTACACCTTCAGGTCACTCCATCAAGTCCGGTGGTAAAGTCTCATCATAACTACAAAACGAACCCAAACTCGGCACACCTAGTTCTACCAGTCTAGGAGTTCCAGTTGCAATCACCGATTTACACCTTCAGGTCACTCCATCAAGTCCGGAGGTATGTACTCGTCATAACTAACAAAACGGAGCCCAAATTCGCCACCCCTAGTTTTACTCTGCAAGAAGTTCAAATAGCGGTCACGAAAGTACACCTTCAGGTCACGACATCAAGTCCGGAGGTAAGGTCTCATCATAACCAACAAAACGAGCCCAAACTCGGCACACCTAGTTCCGCTCGTCCAGGAGTTGCAGTAGTAGGTAAGTTTATATATCCTACTTATTTTTAGCTAAATAAAAAACTGTGAGTATAAAAATAATAATTTTATCACTTGTCAAGTACTTATGTTTCCAATTTGTTTTTTTTCTAATATTTTGTGTATGTACAGCGATCTTTTCAGAATGAGCCGCTGCAAACAGTCGATACAGTCTCCACTCACGACGGCGGCCAAGCGCGGACTGTGGTTTCATCGAAATCTTTGTACAATAAATTAAAGCAGGCACCAACAATAAAATAGCCCTTATTGCAATAGATTATGATTTATCCGTATTAGCAAAATATGTGAAAAAATGTGCATCAGTTTTTATTTTTTCTACGACTGTTTGTGACATTTTGATAAAAATAAACACAGGGTTTTTTAATTGAATATATCTGTTATCTTATAGTATTTTTTTAAATTTTTTAAATATGTTGATAATAGACCAAAATATGTACCGAAACACAAGCCGGTATCGTTAATTTTGTAGAAAATGGCAACGAAAGTTCGTTTTTACAATATAAAAAACTACTATTTTCACAAAAGAGTTACAGACGTTTGCAGATGAAGAACCAATCTATACATGGTAGATTTTACTTATATTTGATTTGGTTTAGTTTTGTCACAAAATCTCCCGAAAAACACCCTAATTTTGGTTGATTTGTAAACGCGTCCTTAAGGGTATAGAGAACTAATATTATTAGTGGTTGTCAGGCATCCTATCTTAATCCCGGAGGTGATGACACATCTGTAGCCTTCTTAGTTTAAAGTTGCTGCTTAGCCACTTATCATCTACTTACGAGTATCATTTAAGGCTGCATTAGCCACTTATCATCATTTGGACTGTAAGTTTGTCTCACTTCAGTTTTATGAAAAAATCTCTTTTCTTTGCGCCATCCTAAAGGTTTTTGTACAGAAAGAGTGCCTTTTTTACTAGTTCCTTAATATAATATTATCGATTTTAACAAAACCATCATTTTTCTTAAGAACCAACTAAGCGTTCTTCCATACATGTAGGTTATAACCGCATATTGATTCTTTGGATTCTCGGCTATTTAATTTGAAGTAAGTTAATAAAATTTCATGGCTTTGTTATTCAATTATTGTCTTCAACATTTAATAAAAACAATACAGAAATGTGTAACCTTAAGTTTCTAGACAGTTTCTTAACTTCCATTATATTTTTATTTTTAAAAGTAAAGGTAAAGTTACAGCTTATATGTGTCCCACAGCTGGGACAGGTCTCCTGTCATTTCTAAATGGATTTAAGGCAAGGTTTGTCTGTTGCGCTGCCCCAATGTGTTTTGGCGAACTTCTTAGTACTTTGTATTTTGTTTTAATTACTCAAACATTTTTTTTGCATTAATTAAATTAAACATGCAGGTTTACATCATGTTTGATGAATATTTTTCATTAAAATAGTTTTTACTTCAGAAACGTCCAATACTTATCAGACGACCTTTTAGCTGTTAAGTTGAACCTGTGATATTTCTTAAAGTTAAAGGTTATTATAGTTACAGCCTATATACGTCCTATTGTAGGTAACAGACCTCTTTTCATTTCTTGGAGGATTTTAGGTCAAGGAAACGCTGCCACGCTACCCCAATGCGTATTGAAAACTTCATTGTTTTCAACATATTTTTCAACAGGTTTCCTCGCGATGTTTTCCTTCACAACCTAGCACGTGATAAATCAGCACTTAAAATTGCAATTCCTTGACTTCATATTGATTTTCCTAAGCCTACTCAAAAGAGCTGACTACAATTTTTATAAAAAAGCACTACAAATAACAGTAAATAATTTCACATTCCGAAGTGGGTTCTAAAACATAGTGTATAAAAGAAATTATTTAATTATTTTTAAGTTCTTTGAAGCCAGCTTTTACTTATTGTCAATTCTGGTCAAAAATATAATATATACACCATTTCTACCGTCTGTGTTATCCTATCCTGTCTATGTTGTCGTTATTCTATCTATCCAACTGTATATTTGCAACATTCTGGCGGATGTAATTTAGTATGCGCTTAGTAGACCGGACAGTAATTTCTGCATCACCGAAGCAGATGCGACTATACGTTTGTACGGGAGAATACGTTTTGGGATTATACCGCCTGTCTTTATGTACAACTAGATAAGAAAGATATATGAAACAGATCCAATACACTTGTAAAATCGTCAATTGATTAAGTTTACTGAACTTTGATGACTTCTACTTTTTTTAAACTTTGATTAAAAAGATTTTGAAGTGAAAACTTTTTGAGACACGTTGGACGGGCAATTTTTAATGAGCAAAATCTTAAGCATTCGCATCATCGACATGCTCATGTTAACTGTAAATTCTATGTAGTTATTAGTATGGCGTGTTGGGTGTATAATATAAGCGCGATGGACGCTTTTTAGATGGGTAAAATTTAATGAGACTGCTTTAACAGCATGCTGTACTAGCAGTATATAATAACATGAACGTATTATATTAATTATTATGTCAATTAATTTGTACATATTTATATTTTGTAACTAGGCGGCGCATTTTATCATATTTGCTCAATTTACTTTTGCTCAATTACAAATAATGCTCTTATTTATGTCTCATGGGGCGGAGACCTGGTGATTTGTAATACAGGCATTTTATTGCCTATCTCAAACACCAGCTCTTCACAGATTCTAGGCTATGAGTATGAACATACCTGTATTTAAATAGATATAAGTTTTTATTATGTATGGTCGGTATTTGTGAGGAGAAATAAACATAATTATTATGTTATATTATATGTTTTGATTAATAAATAAACCTTATAAAAATATATAAATTTGT